AGTTGTAGATGTTTATAAAAGTGTATACATGCAGCTGATATAAACAGACATGGTTAAGAACCTTCCCTCTCCACTCAAGGGAGGAGTATGAGCTAGCCCTGAGAGAGCCCAGACTGATATACGGTTTCCAATTCACACAAGTATTTTTGGCATGTAACCCAGCTTTGCCAGTTGTAAAGGAGCTACTTATTCACGTTGGCAAAGCCCCACTGTCTGCTGTCCCTTCAGACCCTTACGAAATCTATAAATAAAGGCAACCAAGTTTGTTTCATTAGGAGGTAAGCCTATACATAACACATCTCTGTATCCATATTGTAGGAAGGAATGGGAATGATCACCTTTTTTATATTACTTCCCGGAGGTTCTTTACAGGAGGACAATTCTACAGACAGCACGGCTAGTCTATGCTAATTCAATTATACTTATAAGAATCCTACAGATCTGATATAACCTCCTTAGGATTAAGATCAAAATGACAAATATTAAAATATTTACAGCATATGACATTAGAAAATACTTTAAAAAATATAATATAAATTAGATACTTGGCACATAGCATTATTTTTCTAGAATAATATTTGCTCTCATTTAGGGCTTACCATGTGCCAGACCCTGTTCTAAGCACTTTATGTATGTGTTAAGTTATTCAGTCTTCATAAGGGTCTATGTTTTGGGTATTATTGTCATCTTCATTGTACATATGAAGAAACTGAAGTACAAAGAACTTAAGTAAGTTTCCCAAAGGCACGTAGAGAGTTCAGAGGAATAAAGACAGCTATGTATTCGTTAGTCCCTACAGCTCAGAAGAAGCAGATCTAATATTTGAGCCAGAATATTCTGTCTCAAAAGCTAATACTTTAAACCACTACACTAGACAGCCTCTAAACAATTTGTAGGCTCTAATTGAGAGGTATGAGTAATGGTAAAAAAGACATATGTTTCACATTCACAAAAGCCTGGTTTACATCTCAGCTCTGCCATCTACTAGCTGTGTGGCCTTGGGCAAATTATTTAACATCTCTGAGCACTGTGCTTTCAACCCTGCAGTGAGGATAAAAATTGCCTCTCTTGTAAATTTGTTGTACTGATAATAATCTATATAATTTATTCAGCACTGTATACGGTGTGCACTAAATATTCAATAATCTACCATTATCAGTGCTTAAAAAGTAGGCTCAGATATACTGCTACTTAGTGCACAGGGAAGTAACTGAATAACTTCCAAATAAGTGGAAGTACATTTCATTATAGCTTTGGGGAAGAGATATCATTGTAGCTATATGTATCCTAATTAATAGTCCTTCCACCTACACTGCACTCTTATCAGAATTATTATAAAATTCGAATAATCTACCAATTGAAGGGGTTAAACCCAAGGTATAAGCTAACCTTATTCATTTCATATTATTGAAAAATTCGTTTAATAACAGCTAAGTAAAAAAAAAAATGAACTCATCAGCTACAGTTGCATAGTCAGTAAAATGCATTAAAATGTTGAGCAATGCATGCATTTTTATTGGCTTGAAAGTTACGCATGTCTTCTTAAAATCAGCTATAAAAATTGATCTCATCCCCATTCCATCAAGAAGTCAATAGTAATATTTGAGTATTTTGTTTGTTTTTCTCCCTACTCCTCTTGTAATAACCTCACGTCTAATGAAGATCAATTTCCAAAGACGAACTTCAGGGAGTTGATAATCTATCAACGACAACTACTTAAAAGAGGATACAAATCCTTAAGTGGAAATAGTGTCTGGCTTTATGCAGGGAATATTACCAAAGTTGGGCAGACGAGACTGCTCAGCATTGAAAATTTTAAAGAGTAAGACGTTCTGGTCATTGGCTGCACTTCTGTAGCTCCGTTTCACAGTCTAAAATGGTTCTTCCATAAAGGCCTTTCCTTCACTGCCAGGAATAGAATCACTGGTCTCTAAACTTCAAAGTGCCTTTTATGCGCCACGTATCACAACAAAGACCTCATTTTCTCCAGGTTCTAAGAGCTCTTGTTCGAATGGCACTACCATATTCAGGACCATGCCAAACAGGGCTATGAGGTGTAGCTTCAGGCCGCATCGTGAGGACGGCTCCTCAGTCCCTTGGTGTGGCAGAGGCCAACCGGGACTGGGAATGTGGCTACTGCTCCCCTTTCAGCAGCTGCAGGACTGCTCCACACTCCATTTTTGTAACTTATTTAGAAGATGATGTGAGTTGTATACCTAAAATGCCTAGAACTCAATAGATGTTTCATAAGTGGTAGATGTTAAGGGTTTATTTTTTATTTTTAAATTTTTACATGAAAATACATTTTCTGATATTTTAATTCAGATTCTTTTCTTTAATTGCTAGAGGGCACATGCACTGGCCAGAGAGAGGGGAAAGAGAGAGAACACATCCCCTTCCACGGGATGTGACCATGCCACAATACTTTTTTTTCCATCTTTCCATCCTGTCAAGAATTTTGGGCATGCATGCACATGCACAGGGCATGCTTTTCAATCTGCCAGGACTTGGATTTGAACCAAGTCACCACATGAGGCCAGTTACCTGTATGTACAGGGCTTAACCACTGTGCTAAAGGGCTGGCCTCGAACCTGCTCTAATGTACCCTTTCACAAAGGGAAATAAATATTACTAAACTCAGATTTTCAAATAGATATCAGGGAATTAAAAGAGTATCTTTTTTTTTGGGGGGGGGAGAAGGTTTTTGCTATAGGGCGCGTGCGCTCACCAGAAAGAGACAGAGAGATAGAAAGTGAGAAATCACCCCCCCAGGGGGGATAGTGACGCCGCAATCCCTTCTCCTCCATTCTCCTCTTGGGATCTTGGGCACGCACGCACATGCACCTGGCATGAGTTTAAGTAATTAGGTCTGGGACTTGAACCATGGTCGACTACATGGGAGTTCAGCGACATAGCCATTATGCTAATTGCTGGTCCCAAAACAGTATCTTTAATAGCTTTCCAGACTGTGATGAAAGAGACCCACTATGTATCACTAAACACAGTGTGTATGACTAGGAAGAAAGGCAGGAATCACAAAAGATACCACATTTAAAATTCTGAATCTTTATGTACAACCTCAGAGATACACTGACAGGATTAAAAGAAGACACTCATCACACAGTATTTTATTCTCTATTACTGAAGTCTACTGTGAAATGGCATTTTTCATAAATCCTTTCATTATTACGTGACTAGCCCAAAAAGAGTGCATTGTACTTTTTGGTGTTAATAGCATTATTTTTAAAAGTTCAAACATTTACAACACAGAGCAATTTAATAAGCCTTTTTGGCATGTTTTCATTTATTACTTTACAGAGATCTTCTAGTAATAACTTGGGGTAAGTCTCTCTACCTGTAAAAGGTTTTGCCAGAGTATGAAGGAATTCCCTTATTATCGAGAGTAATATAAAATATGGTTCTACTGTGATAGTAAACACATATCAAATAGTAATGAGAGTTCTAAAGTCCACCTTTATTGGTACTGCACTAAGCACTCGCCTGAGAGAGAGACAGAGACAAAGAGGGAAAGTGAGAAATCACCCATCTTAAGGGATGGCCATGCCCCAATCCCTTCTTCTCCGACCTCATCTTGGGATTTCAGGCATGCATGCACATACGCCCGGTGTGGCTTTCAAGCTACCAGGTCTGGCACTAGAACCGCAATTGGCCATGTGGGAGTCCAGCACCTTAACTACCATGCCTTCTGCTGGCCCCTATAGAAAGTACTTTTAAGAGTAATGACTCATCGAATCCCCTCACCTATCAAGATAGGTATTTTGTTTCATTTCCCACAGGAGAAGTGACATCATTTGCCAGAACAGGAAGCATGGTCAGTGTTTGGAACCCGGAAGTCTACCTCTCAAGCCCACCCTTCAACCCAGACCACCCCCAGGGCACTGTTCAGAGTCATGACCCAGTCTACATTTACTGACTTTTTTCTCATTTTTATTCTTAGTATTTACTGTTCTAATATCATATGCTTTTCAACACATGTTGCTAAAACCAACTTTCTGTTCCACGGGGTTACATTTGGAGTGTCCTTAAAAATAAATAGCTCTTTCTTTCTCCTTCAAGGTGTCATATTTTCCACCTTTCAGTGAAACTCAGTTCCCTGGCAAGACACATCTCCTTCAAGTTAACAGTGGCTGCGGCTTCCTTTTCACTCGGTCCACTTCCCTATCTCCATTCCAAGTGTCTCCCCACTCTGGTTTCAGCTGCTTCAGGTCGGGGCCCCCAGAGTGGGCCCTTGGCTTCCCCGCCCGCCCCCCGTGCTTCTAGGCCTGAGTGTGCTGGAATCCGCAGGCATCTGCCGCTCCACTTATCCTGACTACTGTGGTTATGAGGAGCCTCTTTTGAATGCAGACAGCTAGTCAGCCAAGTAGAAATTTATACCAGAAATCTATTACCTAATTTTTAAACAAAATGACATGAAATCAGACTTGAAGATATCAAAAACATGTCTAGTTTCTGATTTAAGCAAGAAAATCCACATTGTTACTGCTCCCACCACAGAATAATTTACTGCAACAGGAGTTCTGGCTCTTATGCCAAAAATGAGGTCCTCTAACCAATGTCAAGGCCAATTATCTTGTGGTAGATCCCACAACAAAAGCGGACTATTGTGATTAGAGTCAGAGGCACCACCCAGAGAAGCTGGAAAGCATCTGAGGATTTCTTTTGGGTAGTTTTTATGTTCTGTCCCTGTGTGACTGTTTAAATAAACTTGCAGAAACTGTGTGTGGGCACTGAGCATCTTCGATTGGCTTGGGAGTCAATTAGAGAGGTGATCAACGGAGTGCACTGCATTTTGGGTTGAGCAGGAGCCATGTTTCAAGGCTGTGCACGTGGGATACAGCGCACATGACCGTGGCCAAGCCTCGTCAGGAGGTCACAACCGCCTGCCTTCCCTGAATTCCTTTTAAACACACTGTTCGTAGCCATCCTGCAATTTCTTCCCAGGAGAGAAAAGCCCGGTGGCTAAACTCAAGAATACTTACCCCACAGTAAAGAACTGCCTCATCTCTTGTCTCCGAGACCTCATCAGTTGCTTATACTCCCCGATCCGGAGCTTTTTGCCGTCGACAATGCAGGTGCGTTTGGGTCGGGGTTTGTATTTATAGTTTGGGTACTTCTCTAAGTGGATCTTGCTTAGTCGGGCCTGCTCTTCATAATAAGGTTGCTTCTCCTGGTTGGACATGGATTTCCAGCGAGATCCTAGACATGAAAATAGCCTTAAGTACCCAAGTGGTCAAGGCAACATACTCTGGGCAAATACCTCCAGAACTACCTTCCCAGCACTTCACTCACCCCTGTGCTCAGGGTCGTTCCTGTTACCCACGTAAGCCTCCCACACAGTCTTCTAGACCATCGAGCAAAGAACAGTTTCTGTACGTGACACATTGGTTGTATCATTTCTCTCAATAACTTAAGGCTGATGTGACTAGACTGTTTTAACATATTATCTTTGTTGCTTAAACATCATCCTACACCAAGGTCTTCCTCATCCATTTGCCAATCTCTCTCAAGAGGGTTAAAGGCCCCACTTCCCAAGTACCCTTTTGTGTATGACAGGATCCTAGGAAAAGCTTTGTTGGTCCTGAAATTCAAACATCTCCTACACTCCACCTAACTCCAGAGAAGCTGTCCTTTGATAAGATGTCAACAGATGTTGCCGTCCTTCCGTATATGAAAATCTACTGTGCACACTATCTCCCCTGGCCTAGAGTAATTACGAAACCTAAACTCTAGCTAAGAAGTTATAGTTTTAGCACCGGAAGGTACAGTCGGAATTATATATACCATTTTCAAGTACTATAAACGTTCATTCAAAGCCATACCAATAAAAGTACAAAAATTTTTAATACGGTTTATACAGGAAGAAGAAAGTGCATTCACTTCTCTAATATTGTTTATAAAGAATTATCTAAACACTTGACGAAAAGGGATGTGTTTTTTTACATATATCAAATTGCATTTTTGTGTCTTGCTGGTGAATGAAGCGGTAACAGCTGTGCAGACTGGATGTGAGCTATTCTTCGGTGGAGATTTCTCACACACAAATGGAAACGCTGTGCACATGCTCCCCGCAGCCAGCAGTAGCCTGGTCTGCCTTAACAGCACCTCTGTCCCTGCTCTCTCCTGAGTGTTGTGTAGAAGCTGTGTAGAAAGTCTATGCGGATAGACTTCTTTATGTTCTGCTGGCTCCCAGCAGCTTAAAGCCGCAGTTCACGGAGGATTCTTGGTACCTAGAAGTGGTTGTGCCTAGAAGTTTACATATTAATAAATATACTTACTATATTCCTAATCGTTTTTTTCACAGAATGTACACCAATCATATAGATTCCACACAGATGCCAAAATGGATCTGTGTCCTGAAAGCTTACTCATATTGCTGCTAAAATAACAGAAAAAATACGAAAAGTTCAAATTGAGTATCTAATTGTAAGGCCAGAAAAGCACTTAGTTTTTGAGACTGGTTTTTAATCGGAAAAACAGATAATATATACAGTAGGAACATTTTGATTTGAAGGGTATTTAAATTCAAAAGAACAACATCCTGGTTCATATCTTTGAAACTTTCAAAATAAAAGCCCACTTAATTATAACGACAGAATTCATCTCGACGGCCTGCTGGTGGCATGGTGGTCAAAGCAGCTGGGTCCTACATGGCCGACTACATGGTTCAAGACCTGAACCTGGAGGCTTGGAAAACAAGCCAGGTGTGTGTGCCTGCATGCCCCAAATCCCTCACAGAGGGTGAAATGAAGAGGAGACTGTGGAGTGACAATTCCCCAAGAGGGGATGCTTCCTCTCTTTCTTTCTCTTTCTCTCTATGTCTCTGTCTCTCTCTAACAAGCATATGGTCCTCTAGCAAGTTAAAAAAAAAAGTCATCTTGAAATTCAAAAGTCAAAAGAGAGAGAGGAAAAAAAAGAAACTTGCATTTTAACACTTCACTGGTATTTGATCTCATGTATGTTTTAAATTTTCTTAGAGGTCACTGCCTCAAGAAATCTCAGAATCAAGTTAAATTATTTATACAGTGACAAAACATGTGTATTTGTGTATGTCCAGATCACTGATATTTACTCAGGTTAAATATTTATTGCCTTTGAACAAAACATTTAAAAAATTAAAACCACAGTTTAAGTCTCTAATGTTTTTCAGCTTCTTAAACAGCTCCCTCTGAGATTTTGTCACATCATGACAGCTTAAATAGAACAGTGCCTTCTGTGTTTTTGCTTTTTAAAGAGGAAACATGTTGACTGTAATGCTGCATGTTGAATAAAATATGTTCAATATGTTGAGCACAATAATTCCACACTGTATAATCTGCACAAGGCAAGCTTTACACTAATGCGACAAGGCTGGAGTATAATCCTGAGAAACGGGAGGATCACGCGGCACTCCACCACAAACCAGGCCTCTGCCCTGCGGTCTGTGTGTTCAACTTACTGCTATGAAATTTGAACTAGTCAGATCTTATTAAAGTAAATGTGACTTTATTTTACAGGTTTTAAAGTTATTATTAGAGGCACTGTTCTGTACTCCATGAATTTCACACCATTTTTGGGTTCAGCCCTAGTCCTCGATGAATTCCTTCAGGGGATACGTGTGCCCAAGAACCAAAGCAGAGAGCAGCAGGGCCTGGGAGTGTCCCGAGGCTTCCCAGCAACTTAGAAATGAAGAAGACTGAATAATAAAAGGAGAAAAAGATTGTCTCCTGACTCCTATTTAGCAGTGACCTCTCAAGAGTCGCTATATTCAGGGTATTAGCATACACTATATACAGTTTTGTCTCTAAAACAGGATTTTAGCCAGTCCAGTCCTGGCACCTGGTGGATGCAACAACCCCTACACCTCAATGGCACGTTGCGAGTTGGGGAGGCAGCGATGATTCAGGAGGCTCCGGAAGCCCCAGCTGCTTCTTCTGACTTCCGCCAGCCATGGGTCCCCTGAGAAGCCTCGCTATGTCCCTGCGTGCTGCTCCCCTGCCATGGCTGGGGCAGAAGATCAGCATCAGCACACCGCGCTCACTCACCCAAGATTTTGCTAATGTTGGAGTTATGCATGTCGGGGAAGGCCTGAAGGATTTTCCTCCTCTCATCCTTCGCCCAGACCATGAATGCATTCATTGGTCGCTTGATGTGTGGCTCACTACTGGCGCGGCCGCGGGCGTCCCTGTAGACTCGTGCTTCGGCCACAGTGGCACCTCCTGTTGGCCAACAATAATACTGCTGTAGTTTAGCTGCAGAGCCATTCACTGCTTTACTTCCTGTAACGTCGGGGCAGGAAGAACAAGACGGTGCAAAGCATTATTACGTGGGTGAGGTAACGCGCTTGCCACCTGGTCTGCTGTCTCCCTAGGCCCTTCCCTGCTCTTCTTTCCTGTGCGACCTCGTGAAGTGGGAAACAGTTTCACACGACAATTGTAAGGCCCCTCTGAAGTAGCCCTCAAAGACACTGGGCAGTGGGGATTCTGCATGCTTCTGTTCGCCTCCTGCACTTCCGACTGGCAATTCTAGCTGATGATACAGCAATGATTGGCGTCGTTTTATGGCAAACTTTCCTGCTGGGATTCCTTCCCTCAAAAGGGGGCTTTTACCTGTCAGGTAAGCCTGACTTGCCAAAAACTCACAGCCACCACAAATACTATGTTTCCCTCAAAAATAATTCCCTTTCACAACATTGTGCCTTGGCTTGTGCTCTCCTGACTGCCTGAAGACCTTACTCCTGCTGCCTCATGCTAAATCCCACTCACCCTTCAATTCTATTCAGACATTCACAAGTTTCATAAGTGAATTAATTAACTCGATGTAACGTATTCATTGAGCAATTACTGTGGGCTAGGCTGTGCCAGGGATACAAAGGTGGATAAAGCAGTCTCTGCTCTTGAGGAGCTCACAGTTCAGAGGGAAAACAGACAATTAAAACCAAGGGTTGGGGGGCCAGCAGGTGGTGTGGTGGTGAAGGCACTGGACCCCCACATGGCCAGCTGCAGTTCGAGTCCTGGACCTGGCAGCTTTGAAAGTCACACCAGGCATGTGTGCACATGTGCCTCAAATCTAGGAAAAGAACAGAGGATAAGGGGTTGCACTGTGGCCATCCTCCCTGAGGAGTGATTTCTCGCTTTCCTTCTCTGTCTCTCTCTGCTGAATGTGTGTGCCATGTGGCAAAAACCTAAAACAAACAAACAAAAGGGTGTGGTCAATGCTACTAGGTGGAAGTCCATCAGGGACCAAGACGGCCCCAGATACTTCTCAGGAGATATGTCTAAGCTGCATCTAGAAGGCCGAACCGGATTCAGCAGGGGAAGGAAAGGAGAAGGTGGAGGGGAGGGTAATTCAGACGAAAAGAGCAGCATTCACAATGGTGCTCCCAGGTTCTAGTCATTCCTCTTGCTTTCCTGCTATGCACCACAAAGTACTTTTTTAAATAGATTTTATTGTGTATATTTAAGGTCTGCAACATGATGTTATGGGATATATACAGCTGCATGGATGCTGCTCTGCTCCCAGAGGATCTATTATTTATATGACTATTTCCCTCCCATCTTTCCACTCCAGCCCCAGGAACACGTGACCTGTAAAGCCAGCAATTGTGTTGTGCTCATTTTTGTATCCCAGGATTTCCCACATAATAGATATTCAATAAACATCAAGACGAAGATTGGTTTTAAGTTAGATGCGAAAGTAGAAGATGAACAAGGTATTCATCTCAAAGGTCTTGCCATATTTTTCCTTTTTTAAGGGTAGCTCGTTAACACTTCCTTGTGAAACTATTAGGTTGTCAGGAAAGTTATGACATATTTATCTATGTTTTTCTGTGCAAAAATGTGTCATGACTCTCCCAACAACCCAAAATATTGAAATCCTTGAAGTTTTACAGTTTCCGAAGAGCTGGGTCTAGTAACATACTAGACTAAAAGCTCCTTGAGGCTCACCGCTGCATTCTGAGGATCCAATGAAATACCTGCCACATAGAATTTCAGGTAGTAACATGTGGTTATGTTAATGAATTTCGGAATGAGTGAATGAAGCTCTTGCTTGTTTCCAAGCATCCTAAAACACTGCTGATGAATACACTGTGATGTGGCGATTGTGAAGGCACTGGACCCCCACATGGCCAGCTGCAGTTCGAGTCCTGGACCTGGCAGCTTTGAAAGTCACACCAGGCATGTGTGCACATGTGCCTCAAATCTAGGAAAAGAACAGAGGATAAGGGGTTGCACTGTGGCCATCCTCCCTGAGGAGTGATTTCTCGCTTTCCTTCTCTGTCTCTCTCTGCTGAATGTGTGTGCCATGTGGCAAAAACCTAAAACAAACAAACAAAAGGGTGTGGTCAATGCTACTAGGTGGAAGTCCATCAGGGACCAAGACGGCCCCAGATACTTCTCAGGAGATATGTCTAAGCTGCATCTAGAAGGCCGAACCGGATTCAGCAGGGGAAGGAAAGGAGAAGGTGGAGGGGAGGGTAATTCAGACGAAAAGAGCAGCATTCACAATGGTGCTCCCAGGTTCTAGTCATTCCTCTTGCTTTCCTGCTATGCACCACAAAGTACTTTTTTAAATAGATTTTATTGTGTATATTTAAGGTCTGCAACATGATGTTATGGGATATATACAGCTGCATGGATGCTGCTCTGCTCCCAGAGGATCTATTATTTATATGACTATTTCCCTCCCATCTTTCCACTCCAGCCCCAGGAACACGTGACCTGTAAAGCCAGCAATTGTGTTGTGCTCATTTTTGTATCCCAGGATTTCCCACATAATAGATATTCAATAAACATCAAGACGAAGATTGGTTTTAAGTTAGATGCGAAAGTAGAAGATGAACAAGGTATTCATCTCAAAGGTCTTGCCATATTTTTCCTTTTTTAAGGGTAGCTCGTTAACACTTCCTTGTGAAACTATTAGGTTGTCAGGAAAGTTATGACATATTTATCTATGTTTTTCTGTGCAAAAATGTGTCATGACTCTCCCAACAACCCAAAATATTGAAATCCTTGAAGTTTTACAGTTTCCGAAGAGCTGGGTCTAGTAACATACTAGACTAAAAGCTCCTTGAGGCTCACCGCTGCATTCTGAGGATCCAATGAAATACCTGCCACATAGAATTTCAGGTAGTAACATGTGGTTATGTTAATGAATTTCGGAATGAGTGAATGAAGCTCTTGCTTGTTTCCAAGCATCCTAAAACACTGCTGATGAATACACTGTGATGTGGCGATTGCTGAGTATCTCCCTGAAGACTGAGAACTTCTGTATTTAAATGCAAAGCGGTTGGACTATGGCCTCCACCACAGCTTCTACTACAGGAAACAGGAAAGGCCTGAACAGGAAACCCTAACCCCTCAAAGTTTAGAAGCAAAATATACATTAAAACCAACATCTTCTGTTTTCTTGGAAAAAGTAAATACTTTCAGCTCAATAAAGTTATTATATAGGAGCAACATGACCCAAACAAATTCTGGCCCTTCTACTCTTATTTCTAGATATCTTGGTTAAGAAGAAATCGGTTTATGTCAGAGCCAGTAAAAAACTAGAACATTAAAGTGCACTATTATTACAGCAAATACGGTCATCTTTTACTGTAAACAAAAGATAGGATAAAGGGGCAGAATCGGCTAATACTGTGGATTTTCTTTCCCCTAAACATGAAGAAGGGCAGAGAGGCTAAGATCATGCAAAAATGACATACCTTATAAGCAGCTCTTCTTTCCAGCCTCCTAGACAGGATGATCCCTTATATGAAAAGTCTCAGATCCCAAGATGCATAACTAATACGCTACCTTTTTGCCACCATACCCACAGTACATTAATTTCATTTAAAATGCACTGACCATACAGGATAAATTGATTTCACTTTATATGGGTTTGACAGCCATGTTTATTGTGCAGTGAAATGTAGTGTAGCTTCCAGCTGACAATATCCATCAACACAGGGCAATATGCTGACTGCTGGGCCAGATGAAGGCATACATCACTCTGGAAGTGAAACACTCATTCAGATACGACAGTGTCTTCTCCTGAGGATCACCCCGGTAATTTATGATGCCCCCAGTGCCATTACTTTACAACTGACATGGATTCAGCAATTTATATACTGGCATGCATACACATAAAAGGAGACAGGTTTGTGGCGAATGTCAGATGCAAAAACATCTCAGTATTATTCTAAGTTAACTACTGTGCACAGGTGATTAACATTTGAGGTCTGTTTTTAACTGTTTTAGCTTTCTCTCTGCCTCTAGCAAAACCAAACAGTTAGTTCTATTTATTTCCTCACTTGAGAATATGTATTTCATTGTTAACAGGAATTGATTTTTTTTTTTTTTGAAGAGAGATTTTTGCCATAGGGCATGTGTACTCTCACTGGAGAGACAGACAGAAGCAAGAAATCAGCCCCCCAGAGGGATGGCCACACCATAGTCCCATCTCCTCCATTCTCCTCTTGGGATCTTGGGCATGCATGCACATGCATCAGCATGAGTTTTCACCTGCCAGGTCTGGGACTCAAACCATGGTTGACTACATAGGAGTCAGTGATGTAACCATTGTGCCATCCGCTGATCCCGTGAACAGGACGTTTTAAATGGCTTACAGACTAAAAGGAATGATGTGAATTTTTACACTGCTTGTAGTATAGACACGTTCTAGATCCTCTCCTCCATACCAGCTGGTTCTCCCAGTCATATGGTTGCCTCGTAACCTCTCTCCCTGTACGGCAGTTTTAGCAAAGCCATCCTGCTCTCTTCCACTTCACTAAATTCTACCTCTCCAAGGAACTAGCTCAGATCCCACTTCCACCAACAGCCCTGCACTGACCTTTCCCCCCCTCCCAAAGCACACATAATCTACACGACCCTGACTATCAACTCATTACACAACAGATCTCTAGGACTCCCTAGGGGCACTCCCAGAATTGAGAAATTCAGCACAGAGCATACTTTAGAAATTCAAATTAAGAAGGGGAAAATACAAAATGCTTCAGGTCATGTCACCTATCTTTTTTCTTGCCACCTCCTCTCTCTTCCATGTGGAGTGAGTTGAAAATGAATGGGGACATCTTAGTTAAACTAAGAATGATGTATCAGAAGGATCAAGAGTTGGGGAAAAGAGACTTATCCTGAGAGACCAGTATTTGAAATCACTTTCCAATTGGGCCAGTTATCCAATCAGACATTGATCACAGCAGGAACTTTGAATACCCCACAAAGTTACAGGTCCAGGTTTTTCTGCAAAATAATAGCTTGGACATATGTTTTCACTA